AGAAAACCGAAACTAAAGAAAAGAATCAAGTCAGGAACACGTGAAACAGGCGTGCGTGTATCATTCACGCAGAGGGGACATGAACAAGCATGTTCCTGTAATGTTACACTCCTGAGGTCACCAAATGGACCTTTAGTTTGAAATCACTTCCTGTAGGTGAGGACTTGGCTTAAGGCCCTTTGACGCGTTCTTCAGAACGTGCATGTTAGATACAAAGTGTCTATGTGAATGGCTGAATGAGGCATGTTGTGATTTCAGTTTATCTTAATAAAATGGAACTGAAGCTGAGGCCGGTGTCACCGTGCGGAGACGTCTTTGGGGAAGAAGCTAGACACTCCTGAACCTGAGACAGCATCAGGAGCGTCTCACCCGGGCTGAGGACACAAAGAGCTGGACTGATGCTCAGTGATCAGTGAGTGAAGTTTTTTTGGAAATCTCTGTCTGTGAAAGGTGTTTTCATCTTTTAGTGATTTCCTGTTTTATTTTGATAGTCTTCTGTCTCGTGTGTTTTGTATATCGTCTCTTTTTCTGTGTTGTTTCCTGTTTGATTAGTTTCAGGTGTCGCCCTCCCCTGTATACACAGCCGCGGTCTCCCTTTGTTCGCTGTCAGATTGTGTTTGTGATCCCGTTCAGTTCGCCCTGTTCCTCCAGAATGAACGTTCCTCTTTTGTTCATCCAGTTTGCTTCAGAAGTCTACTTTTGGGTCCAACTCACCACAACAACATGGCAGAGTTCTGATTTTTTCCTGTTGAGGTCTCTGCATTTAAACGACCCAGCGGGCCAAAGCCTCACAAAACAACCGCTCTCATATCAAATTATAGGACAACAGACAAGGACAAACAAACAGCCTTCAGGAGTGTGTGGCAGCACTCAGATCCACAGATGAATCATCTGCATTGTTGTCGATGCTACCACGTTTGGTGCTCGCAGCAGCAACAAGGTCAGCGCCACATGATTGAAGGGCAGTTATATAACATGCTAAACTCACCGTTAGATGCATAAATGGCGTTGGTCACCAGAGGGAGGTGAACGGTCTCAGCGGCCTGACCGTTCATCGGGCTCATCGGTGCAGAAAGGCCAGAGGAGCTGTCAAATGAGCGACTGGGTGATCCACCGTGTTGATCCTGAAACGGGGATGGAACAAAGACCGCTCAACACTTTCAAAATAAAATAAAAAAGGAGCTCTGAATCATATTTTGTTGGATGAAGTGTGGGTGACGTGCTGGATTCTACTTGTTTTGTATGTGGACTGCATTTAAACGGAGAGGCGAGCAGTAGCGTGTGAGAGGTTTTCAAACACAATAAGACGCTGAGTGAAGCGAATCCGAGGGAGACACTCGAGAGACAGTACAGGGTCAAGGTGAAGGAGGGGACTGCATTTCCCATGCCCCCACAGGGTTAGAAGCACCTTCAGCACTGCTTCCTCTTTCAGTGTGTTGCACTGAAACCTCGATTATATGCTGTGCCGCCGCGAGTCCGCTCGAGTCCCGGTGACGTAAATTTCATCATCACATGGTGAGTGCGAGGGTCCATGTGGATGTGTGTGCAGAACATTACAATGCACCAACTATGCAGCAGACTTGAAGGGGACAGCGAAGTGTAACAGGAAGGACTGCCGGGCCGCCGGGTCTCCAGCGGCGTATGATGGTCGGATAACACTGTCACACCTCTCCCCTCAGAGAACAGCCCTCTGAGGGGCCGGCGCTATCAAACAAAGCATTGATTATACTGTCGATGTGTCTCGTTGTGCATGTATTATTTCTTTAGGAATTGAATTTGCATTTATTTGTCATTTGTGTTTGGGTGCAGAAAACTCTCTGGATTCATTAACATGCATGCATATGTATGCTGCTGCTGCTTTGAGATTCAGTGTACTCTGTTTCTTTGCTGTATTTGCCCCCTCTGCGTTGGATAATCCCCGCTCTCAAACAACAAAGGAGACATAACAACGCCCTGTGTGCAATAAATCCACCTTGTTGTCCTACTCTTGACCCCACACCCGGCTCCGGTCCCTCGCCCAGCCTCCTTCCAACTCCAACCCAGCCTATGCATCCAGCAGGCCCCCTTCCTGGCTCCCCCCCAGCATGCTTCCCATTAGTTAGTGTTATAGTGCAATCAGATTTCTCCTGACAAACATGCATCACCCT